CTCCGCCTGTCGAAGAACCTCCACAGAATGCCAACTTCACTCTTGAAGTTCGTATCACGGATTTTGAGAAGAAGGGCGATGGAATGAATGCCTACATTGTTTACAAGCTCATAACAAAGGTTTGTTCAAACGTTCCAGTTACAATGTTTTTTATTTGCTTTTCTTTTGGATATATGTTCGTTTATTGCCATTTTGAGCCGAAATATTTGAACTATCTATTTCCATCTGTTTTTTTCCATAGTAGCTCTTATATTTCTCTTTTCGTTCATCAGCCGTAGTTTTCCTTCAAAATTCTTTGTCCTCTTTCATGCGTGTATGAAGTCTTTGTTTCAGTCTGAAGGCGTACCCGGCATAGCTGATAAAACTTACGAAGTATGGAGACGTTTCTCGGACTTTCTGGGTCTTCACGACAAACTCTTCGAGAAGTATATCTCTAAAGGAGTGATAGTACCAGCTGCTCCTGAAAAGAGCATTCGCTGCGATGACCAAAACGAAGGTGTGTTTATCCACTTAAATTTTTTTCGTACAGTTAGCTGGGTGATACAACCTCTAAGGCGATAGCTCGATGTACAGTTATGATCCCTGCAAACGATCGGGCGTGTAACAGGCGAGGATTGGAACGCCAGAAGGGCAGCCTTTTCCCCAACTTACGCGTTCTGAGATCTCAACAATTGGCGGGAAGGCCTGTTATGGCTGCGATCCAACTTACGGGCTCCACACCCCCTGTCGTTTGGAAGGGCTCATTTCTCGAGGCCCAGTCAGATATTTCAAGGGTTATTTAATCAGTGTCTCATGTCACGCTATCATTTGAGCGGTTAAGGAGTTTATATTTGATATTACTGTTCACGAGGGGAATCCGTTGAACAGGGAGAAATCGGCTCACTTGAGCCGAAGCTTCTCACGTAGACTTGTCCCAATCCTTCAGTAATAAATGCTGTTCAGAAAGAAAATTACGAAGGAAAGGCATAGGAAGGACGTACAGTCTTGTTCGCTGCGGATGATGGGGCGTGTCAGTGAGGCTGGATTTGCCTGCCCGTTCTTCACTAGTTGTTGAAATGGGTAAGCGACAACAGTTGGTGGAAAACGACTGGTACGAGCGATATGATACAGTCTGGTCGCTTGCTCGCTTTAACAAGTGGAGGAAAACGCTATAGGCGCCGCAACCAACCCCTTCCTCCTGGCACACCTCTTCACGCAGCGAACCAAGCGTTGCTAGATATCGTCATTATCCTGTACTAATACGTAACATTAACAACATTAGGCATTTCTGCGCACTCATCTTGTACCAACCCCTCCTAGTACGAAATTGTTTGTAGGCGACGTCAGATCCAGCAACATCACGAGAAGTAGCAATCCGTCGAGCAAGGCAACTAGAGCGTTTCGTTAAACGTGTTATTCAACACCCAAGACTTCGCGTGGATTGTGATGTTCGTGATTTCTTGACCATGGAGGTGTGTGTTTTTCCTAACAATTTTTTCACACATCATTTTTCTTTTGAATTTTTGTAAATCTAGGCTGAATTACCACGTGCAAGTCAAACGTCTACGTTGTCTGGCGCAGGTGTGAAGCGAATATTCAAGAGCGTTGGAGAGGTTTGTTGTGCCTCCCTCTTACGCCAAACACTGAGATTTTGACGCAGCGGGCGTCAGCATATTCCGCACGCTGTCTTATTTATATTAGTTATAGAAGATAGTGAGCACGTTTCTCCTATATCTCGACTTCGTGGAGGGCGTGGCCGCGTGCTTTTTTGAACATAGCTTGAGATCCGTTTTTCTTTTGTTGGATCTTCTGTTCTATTGTCTTGTGCTGGACAGAGTCATTATTACAATTGTCGCAAAAGGGCGATATCCCACCAATGGAGTAGACCAAGTCAAACGAAGTTTGCAGCCACGTCCATTCCATCTTCAGTGTATGTGTGTTGTAAAGGATAGTATTTGTTGCGTTTCCTTGGGAGTACTAAAATGCTTGTCGTGAGAGAAACGGGAAGTTGTCAGAAATAACTGCTTTTCCTGTGTACCTATGGTCGGGGGGGGGGGTGATGTGGAGTGTTCAGCGTGACTTCGCGACACCCTGTATGCTTGTCTGTACTCTTACTGTTCTAGTGCTCGCCAAGTTGGCTCTTCCCGAGGAACTCAACCGAGAGTGCGAATGATCAACAAATTGGCCTAGTCTTG